TCTAACAATATTGTCTTATCTAGGCCCTATGACTGGCCAAATCCTATTTCCTTATTTAGGGCGTATAAGTGAGCCGAGACTCGCGATAGAGCGGATCCCAGGAGGTAATGGATAGAACCTAATATTATTCTGTATTCATAAATTGATTTATTAACCCTTCACGTTTGAATCGGCGTTATCAGCGATGTTTGTCAATGTTTGGTGTATTGTTCAATAGAAAAATAGAAACAAATTTACTGATAAAACATTGACATACACCACATATACCGATCAAAATAAAAGTGTATATAACCTGTGGCCCTCCTGGAATTATAGCCAGCTTTTCCCTAAAACTATTCACTTGGATGTCACAAATTTTTGTCAATAATTAATTCGAATAGTACAATTTGTCCTTTTTTCACCTGAAAATACGACGTTCATCGTTCCATATATCACTACAGTCTTATCATATTGCCACACAAATATCTAGTCTGATCAATTCGGCATATTTCAAGAGAGCTCGAAGAGGGACAGCATTCGGAGATTGTTTCAAAGACTAAATTTTTCTGATTTGAGCTAAAGACATGAAAGACGTGCTTCTTAATTAGTACTCGATATAACAAGCTGTGTCAATGCTGAAAACGAGTCAGGTTATACTAAAATGCAGCGGACTCTCCCGAAAGACAAAGCACCAGGACCATTCCAAAAAGGCGTTATGCACGACATCTAGACTAAGAAATAAGGAAAACGATTTTTTTTCTCTACGAGTAATGGGATTATAGAATGATTTTGAGAGGATTTGTCATCAGCTGCTGATTAATATTTAAAAAAAGAACTTTCAAACAAATGTGTACATGTACATGCATGTATTTTTCAAATCAAGTTGAGTGAAATGTTGAGGATCATACAGATGTTGTACCGGGAACTAAATTTGTCTATTATCCTTGATTGACGTTGTCTTATAGTTCTCTAAGCATTAGAACTAGATACATAACTGTTGTGATGAAGTCCAAATATGGAGCTAGTAACAGCCGCCTTATGGAGTTTTCGGGTGCTTTCATACTCCAACGATTTTCTTATCTCAGTTTTAAAATCGTATACTCTCTTACTGTCCTGAAGCAAACATGTCCCTTTAACTTGCCTCATTCGAGTATAGTGACTGTTCTGCAACTTCAAGACAACACTGCAGGAGGACAGTTCCCTCGAGAACGGGTAATTAAAGATAGCCAGTAAATGGAATGGCCGAAGATATTTTACCAAAAAAACCGACAATTTTCAATATTTGAAAGAAAGCTAAAAGCGAAGATATGTTTGAGTTATATAATATTATGCTATAGAACACAATTGTCTATATTAATGTTCAATTTCGTATATAGATAGAGTTTTCGTGCTTTCGCGCAACGCTTAAAATTTATTGCAAAGTTATCGTCTAAACCAATAAACGTCATCTTCAAAATCTGCCGTAGATACTTCAATTGTTAACTGTACAAAACCTTTGGTTTCAGCTTCGGCGAATGTTGTGATAATCAATATATGAACGGAGCACTCACACAACCACATCGGCGGATACCCACGTCATGTAATTCTTGTTTCATCGTCAATTTTGACTATTTACATTTTAAGAATTTTTGACACCAAAAGCTTCAAGCCTCTGTGAAAAGTGTTTCTATGAGGTTCGAGATAATTTGCTGCAGGAGGACAAAGTATTTGATTATTTTAATAAACAGTCCGTCAAATAGCGTTGGTATTGCGTAATGTCACACTTCATCTAACTTCAATCGTTCATCTTCAACAAGACTGGCTAACAGAATTGGTCGTTGTACTCTGCAACATGGTTTATGTTTAAACTAGTACTTTTGTTGCTCTTAGTACAAACAGCGCAGTTGCTTTGAAGAATTGGTCGCACAGTATTAAGCTGATGTGTGATTTGAATGTTGACTGTTAGTAATAAAGAATTTTTTTCGTTGTAAAACCTTATATTTTTTTCACTGGTAAATGTAATGTGTTTGTTTTACCGCTGTTGTCTTTGATAATACATTTTTTTCATATATATATATCTATATATCGTCTATTTGGTGAGTGTAAATATACTTCCCATATATGCTGAGAACAATTTTAGGCTTGAAATAATTGTTTTATCTTGAATCAGAGCTTGTATCTTGTACGAATATGTAGATATCACACTGTTAGGTTTTTAAGAGACATAAAGAAATAATCAAAACAAAACGAAGTTATATAAGTTGAGTACTTTTATTATCCAGTATTAAAAAGATCCTGTTAAATGTCATATTCAAGCCATTAGTTCAATATTTTAAGGGACATAATAATCAAAATGTACGATTTAGTGTGGTATATTTACATTTAGTCAACAAGTTAGCAGTAAGACTGAGCGTGGTATATTCACATTTAGTCAACAAGTTAGCAGTAAGACAGAACGTGGTGTATTCACAGTTAGTCAACAAGTAAGCAGTAATACTGAGCGTGGTATATTCACATTTAGTCAACAAGTTAGCAGTAAGACAGAACGTGGTGTATTCACAGTTAGTCAACAAGTAAGCAGTAATACTGAGCGTGGTATATTCACATTTAGTCAACAAGTTAGCAGTAAGACTGAGCGTGGTATATTCACATTTAGTCAACAAGTTAGCAGTAAGACTGAACGTGGTGTATTCACAGTTAGTCAACAAGTAAGCAGTAATACTGAGCGTGGTATATTCACATTTAGTCAACAAGTTAGCAGTAAGACTGAGCGTGGTATATTCACATTTAGTCAACAAGTTAGCAGTAAGACTGAGCGTGGTGTATTCACATTTAGTCAACAAATTAGCAGTAAGATTGAGAGTGGTGTATTCACATTTATTCAACAAGTTAGCAGTAGGACTGAGCGTGGTGTATTCACATTTAGTCAACAAATTAGCAGTAAGATTGAGAGTGGTGTATTCACATTTATTCAACAAGTTAGCAGTAAGACTGAGCGTGGTGTATTCACATTTAGTCAACAAATTAGCAGTAAGATTGAGAGTGGTGTATTCACATTTATTCAACAAGTTAGCAGTAGGACTGAGCGTGGTGTATTCACATTTAGTCAACAAATTAGCAGTAAGATTGAGAGTGGTGTATTCACATTTATTCAACAAGTTAGCAGTAAGACTGAGCGTGGTATATTCACATTTAGTCAACAAGTAAGCAGTAAGACAGAGAGTGATGTATTCACATTTAGTCAACAAGTTAGCAGTAGGACTGAGAGTGGTGTATTCATATTTAGTCAACAAGTTAGCAGTAAGAGTGAGAGTGGTGTATTTACATTTAATCAACAAGTTAGCAGTGAGACTGAGAGTGGTGTATTCATATTTATTCAACAAGCTAGCAGTAAGACTGAAGCGTGGTGTATTTACATTTAATCAACAAGTTAGCAGTAAGACTTAGAGTGGTGTATTCATATTTATTCAACAAGCTAGCAGTAAGACTGAAGCGTGGTGTATTTACATTTAATCAACAAGTTAGCAGTGAGACTGAGAGTGGTGTATTTACATTTAGTCAACAAGTTAGCAGTAAGACTGAGAGGGGTGTATTTACATTTATTCAACAAGTTAGCAGTAGGACTGAGCGTGGTGTATTCACATTTAGTCAACAAATTAGCAGTAAGATTGAGAGTGGTGTATTCACATTTATTCAACAAGTTAGCAGTAAGACTGAGCGTGGTATATTAACATTTAGTCAACAAGTAAGCAGTAAGACATAGAGTGATGTATTCACATTTAGTCAACAAGTTAGCAGTAGGGCTGAGAGTGGTGTATTCACATTTAGTCAACAAGTTAGCAGAAAGACTGAGAGTGGCGTATTTACATTTATTCAACAAGTTAGCAGTAAGACTGGGAGTGGTGTATTCATATTTAGTCAACAAGCTAGCAGTAGGACTGAGAGTGGTGTATTTACATTTAATCAATAAGTTAGCAGTAAGACTGAGAGTGGTGTATACATATTTAGTCAACAAGTTAGCAGTAGGACTGAGAGGGGTGTATTTACATTTAATCAACAAGTTAGCAGTGAGACTGAGAGTGGTGTATTTACATTTAGTCAACAAGTTAGCAGTAAGACTGAGAGGGGTGTATTTACATTTATTCAACAAGTTAGCAGTAAGACTGAGAGGGGTGTATTTACATTTATTCAACAAGTTAGCAGTAGGACTGAGCGTGGTGTATTCACATTTAGTCAACAAATTAGCAGTAAGATTGAGAGTGGTGTATTCACATTTATTCAACAAGTTAGCAGTAGGACTGAGAGTGGTGTATTCATATTTAGTCAACAAGTTACCAGTAGGACTGAGAGTGGTGTATTTACATTTAATCAATAAGTTAGCAGTAAGACTGAGAGTGGTGTATTTACATTTATTCAACAAGTTAGCAGTAAGACTGAGAGTGGTGTATTCATATTTAGTCAACAAGTTAGCAGTAGGACTGAGAGTGGTGTATTTACATTTAATCAACAAGTTAGCAGTAAGACTGAGAGTGGTGTATTCATATTTATTCAACAAGCTAGCAGTAAGACTGAAGCGTGGTGTATTTACATTTAATCAACAAGTTAGCAGTAAGACTGAGAGGGGTGTATTCATATTTATTCAACAAGCTAGCAGTAAGACTGAAGCGTGGTGTATTTACATTTAATCTACAAGTTAGCAGTAAGACTGAGAGTGGTGTATTCACATTTATTCAACAAGTTAGCAGTAAGACTGAGAGTGGTGTATTTACATTTATTCAACAAGTTAGCAGTAAGACTGAAGCGTGGTATATTTATATTTAGTCAATATGTTAACAGTAAGACTGAACATATAATACAATTATGGACTTTAGTGCCGATGAATATGATGTCACATCATATATAACCTTTACTTGAACGTGCCTCCATGTAAAATTTAGTCAGGGTTGAATCCAACAGTTCGGTTTTCGAAGACATCGTCAAGGTTCTTTTTCTAAAGGTAGGCATGGAAGACACGCACTGCATGTTTAATGTCCTTTATTGTGTTTACAGCATCATTTTCTTCAAGTAGTTTGGATTTTTTTAGATATAACGGAGGCGAAGAATTTTCAAGCATAACATAATCACATTAAGTCAATATGTTAGCAGTAAGACTGAGCGTGGTATATTCACATTTAGTCAATATGTTAGCAGTAAGAATGTCGTGGTATATTCACATTTAGTCAATATGTTAGCAGTAAGAATGTCGTGGAATATTCCCATAAGTCAATAAGTTAGCAGTAGGACTAAACGTGTTTAATTAACATTTAAAGTTAAATCTATGTCAATAATGGTGACGAGTAATGGATATTATACATGCAGTTTATATATCAAATAAAAGCACACACTTTATTGATAAAAGGTTAAATTCAAGTTTTAAAGATATAGTTTAAATTTAATATGATTTTCAATTTGATTGATTAAAAACAACATGCCGTATGATCATAAATACCAAGCAAAGTTTCAAAATGGAACAAAAGTGTTTTAAGCCACGAAGCTATTTTTTTTCTTAGTATTTTGATGACAAGCTGACGATCGGTTGATGCCATTGGACTATCTTACACAAATGATATGTTGGACAACAATAACACAAATGCATGTCAACACTTCAATAGTCGTTGCAAAATGTGTCTACATTATGCACATTTGAAGACAAATTTATGGAGGCGATTAAGGCTAATAAGAACCACGAAAGGATATGCTTGTAAGTCAGTATAAAACAATTCATCGTATTCTACCACACATATGTTACATATATAACATGGCACTCAAACTTCGTGATTTGGATTCTACTTTGATGACCCAAAGTTAGGTGAGCCTGAATAAATCAAAATCACCAACTCTATGTTACCAAAGAGTTTAGACCAGATATACGTATTAACCTCTCCGACGATAGCTCCTCGTTGATACATGCACCATTATATTTTACCGGAGGTAATAAAGGCACGATACTAACGATCTACAACGAGTATACCAATAAAACAACAAAATCACGAAGGTCGATATAAAAGTAATACAGAGACGTGTACTGTTATTGTCAGAAATGTATCTTCATTGATGTGAATATGAGGTTTTACAGATTTCAAAATTACTTTAAAGGGTAGTAAAAAATACTTCATTGTAACCTGAATACAGAAAATGAGAAATCATTAAATAGAATGGAAAGTACGAAAGTCGAATGGCGCAATGGATAACGCAGACATGTTTCACCAAGGCGGCCGGGGTTCCATTTCCCCATCTGACGTAAAAATGCATGAGGTCTCCTGCCCGACCACGTGGGTTTTCTCCGGGTACTCCGGTTTCTTTACACATTAAGGCCTAACATTCGAGCCAACAGTGTGGTTGCTATAAGTTGAAATAACTCGTTTCATAATTGTTGTAAAATTAATCACCTTTATAATTATAAAAGGGCATAAAGTCGCAAAGTATTGCCTTCGGATGAGAGAATTGAAGTAAAGTAATGAAAATATTGACCTTTTGTTTCTAAAAAAGCAATATCGAGTTTATATACAGACACACTGAATCACACATGGCCATGCTTTAGCAAATCCGAGTTCAAGAAATGAAAAATGGCTAAGAGAAGGTAGTACCATTGTCAGAGAGCATTGTTGGGTAACAATTGATGTGGCGACATAAATAAAATCATTTCCGAAACATGATAACATCTAGTCAACATATTGACATATAGACCAAAACTGGCCTCGTCTTGGCCAATCAGAGTTAGGAAAATGCAGACTCTACCTAATTGTATGGCTATACAAGGTAAATGACGAGTATAAAATGTTATATAGGAAGCAAAATCGCTTAGGTAGGAGTATTCATACAAATACAATGTATCCAGGTAATATCATAAAAATAAAAACAAATAAAATGAATAAACAAAATATACTGAAATAAACTGAATTCTGTTAAAATAAACTATAAATATTAATTCTTTAATTGATTTGGAAATGTAGAAAGGATCAATATATATATTTATTCATAGAAATTATCACCCCTCTAGCATCATCTCCTTTTCTGCAGCTATTACTTCCTCGGGCTGCCAGAAAATATAGACTGTCCAGAAACATAAATTAAATATTCCAAATATTAAAGGAAAGATTATTCTTGCTAATTTGTCGACGTTTCTCGCACGTTCTCTCCGTATTGCGTCCTTAAAGAACTTTCCTTTTTTCTGCGGTGGCGAGTCTTCCTCCTGAAAGAGAAAGACAAGGATAGTGAACATCGGATGTAATGATAATCTCATAATCATTACATATGACAGAAGATACAGATAGGTGACTGGTGTTATTAGTCATTGTTGATCTGCATTTTTCTTCTGTTATATAAAATTTTATTTATATATACAATTAAGTAAGATGTTACTATGACTGACTCGGCATATTGTGAACTAGTGAGTTGTTGTAAGGGGTAAAGAGTCAAGATACTGGTCATTTACTGCTTCATACAATAGCTTGACAAAGGATCAAGATGTTTCGAAAGGTCGCAAAACAAGTTTTCAATTGATGTTTGTGTCAAAAGTATTGAAAACAAACGAAACATATATTATGTATACCAAACTGATGAATAGTATTCCTAATTCAAATATGATATGTTGAAATTTCCTATACAATAAATGCATATATGAAAAGTATGTCATATATTACAATGAACTAGTATCCTAGACGGATATTATACAATAAATGTATATTTAGTGTGTTGCTATATATTACAAAGTACTAGAACAATGTGTTAAATTAAAGTTAAGCTACAATTTGCTATGCTAAGTTACCACATAACAATATTATAAAGTATTAGAACACTGTATATGTTGAAAGTATGTTACAAACATCTCTCCAGTCACAATGTACTTATATGATATAATAAAATATCTATATCAACTTAAATAAGATTGTATCAATCAATGTCATTAACATGCAAAGGAAAAATAAAACAACATTTAGCTCGGACTTGCGAAGAAAGATCATGATAAAAACAAATGCATAAATTTTACACTATATCAATTCGAAATTACCGTTTTGCCGTTTTCGTCATCTGGGGGCTGACCCCTGCTCTTTATCGTTTGTCGTCGTCTTTGTTCTACCCTGGCGAGAACATTCACATAGGCGAATTCGATCAGAGCAGAAAACACAAATATAAGGCACATCGACATCCACACATCAATGGCTTTCACATAGGACACACGTGGCAATGTTGCACGTGCCCCAGAACTCTGTGTTGTCATGGTAAGCACTGTTAAAAGTCCTAGAGATATTCTGGCAGGAACAGCATCAATGTTTAGCCAGAAGGAGACCCAGGACAGTAAGACGATGAGTATGCTCGGGATGAATACCTGGATTATGTAGTAGCCGTAGTTCCTCGATAACTTCACAGACATCGATATACAGGTGTAATTCACTACAAAAGTCACAAATAGAAATCATACCTGAAAAAACAGTATCTGTTTTTCTACCAGACGTTTTTATTTTCTTATATAACTGACACTGGGATGTGAAATGTAAATGCAAAACTTATTAACAGTTTTGTAAGGCCTATCACAGCTCGCCTCAGCTCTGAACAACTTGATATGCGATGTCTTGTGCAAGTGTTTTTGTTCAAACGTAATAGTATTTTAATGAGAAAGTATTGTCATTTCAGGCGGACAGATAAAGATTGTTGTATATAAGTGTTTTTACCATCGATGGGATTAAACCACCAGAATTTTTGTTTCAGACATTTTTCGGCAACTTGTAACGTTTTATTCAAATATTAAGATAGCTATTCTGGTAAGCATCGTACACAATGTTTGTATATCAATCAGTTGTTAACTAATTACCTTGCTTGGATATATGTCTTCTGTTATTTTACGATAGATGATAAATATGATATTAAAAGATTTCACAATGTTATTTTTGTGTCTTACTTTGTTGGATTTTGGTGCAATACCAAGAAGTAAGCTACTCTTTTGTATTGACACTGCGTATATTGTAAGATAACTGTTAAGATCTTACCTCCTGCGTACGTTACGTCACAGATGTGATCTGTTATTTCGCCCATTTCAAACTGTGGAAGGGATAGTTTTGGCGACTTTTCAACTGGTAAATCATTCCAACGTAGCAGCAATGTTTCCACACTGTATCCATCTGTAAATTGGCGTAAGAAATGTTTAAACCTGCTAAAGTATATATGTATACATTGCAGCCAATGTCCGTAAATGTTGAGCATGAAAAGTACGAAGAATGTTGTATTTCTGTCCTTTGGGGATATCATTGCATGACTGATATACGTCTGCACATGTAACTGTAAAACCTCAAACCACAGAAGTACGCCTGTGATGTTGTAAGGGTTTTCCGGGGTTGGAGTACATTATAGTTAAGACCGTTGCAGAATCTAAGTCCCAATTGAAAGCAAAAGGCATATCAGTAACTCAAAACGCTTTACCGCGATGCTATTTTCTTGTATTGAAATAAGATTATGATATTATGATAAATTAACTATGAACAAAGAGATAAGCATATGAGTGTATGAGTTGGTGAGAGGGTGTCTGAGTGTGGTTTAATTACTCACAGCTTTCCAGTCTTAAGGAACACCGTTGTTCATCCAATGGATACTTATGTAGATGCATATTGCAGGCAAATCGACCAGAGACCCTACGAAGTATAAAATAGGCAAAACTATAATTGATACAGTAGATGCACGTCAAAACGTTGCATTTGAGTGATTGAGCAAATGAAAATAACATCATCGAAATAGGTATTAATAACTTAGTATCATTGGATTAAACAGACGCTGTTCTGGTGGTTTTCAATAGGGTGACGCTATTTTGGGGGTAGTTTTCTATTACGTTATTGTTTTCAACAGCACAAAAAAACAACAAATTCCCCTTCAAAGAATACAAAGATTTGCTATTGCAAAGTATATTTTTATAAACAAACAGATGGAATGTTGTTGCCTTGGTCTTATTTAACAAACAGTCAGAGGGGTCACAACTACACTGTCGCAATCGTTTAATAACAATAACGAGAAATTATTATTAATTCATTCATTTTTTTCATGTTTCAGTGGTAAAATAATGTAAGATTATGATCAGAGATAACGTTATCTAACATTTTTGTCAGTGATATATAATCATATAACTTTGTAATCAGGTCTGCATGCATCATTGTCTAACATCAATTACAGTGCTATTTAAACTATTATCAATATGAGATACTCGGCAAATATGAAGATACTCATAACAGTTCAGAGGAACAGGAAGCAACTTAAAGCAACGAACTACACAAACGTGAAATTATATTTATCATTAAGGACTTGTGTTTCGGTCGATACGTTGTTTTATGAACCTGATAGAGTGAAATAGACCTCTTGTCATCACTCTATTAAGTCCATATCCCAACATATCGATCGGGACAAAAGTTGCTTTACTGCAAAGAAAAATAGCCAACATCTTACGGGGAAACACAGCCTACATCATAGTTAATATGGCATAAATCATAAAGTCAACTTTTAGCTTACAACAGACTAAAATAAATCCACCATACTGTCAACATTTCAGTCTAGTTCATAACATTAAATTTCTTTTTCTTGTAAAATTGAACCTACATCATACTTTTAAACCTAGCCGTATTTCGTTATATACAATCCATTGAACCTACCAGGTACATTAAAAAATACCCTGAAACTACCAGATACTTTATAATACTCTGAGCCTACCTCGTACTGTAAAACATCTTAGCGCTTACCTTGTTTGTGGAAAGTCTGCACTTACCTAGTCATGTTTAAGGTGCCCTGAGCCTACTCATACTGTAAATACCCTGACTCTATTTTGTGATGATGAGCCTACCTCATTATCGAACAGTTGAGCCTACTAAAAACTGTCAAAACAGCGCCTACCTCATACTGTAGAAGACGTCACCGTTAGGATAGATGTGCATGAGTTTATTAGGTACAGTAACTACATGGAAATATGCCTTCTTCTCGTTTACGATGTAAAGGTCGGGAACCCAGATACTGTCGATCATCTTGGTGTCAAGCTCAAGATTTTTGAGACCTCCGAAGGCAGTGTATGTTAATCTATTGTCATTCCACCTCTGTCTGATGAACATACTCATGCCGAAGTCCTATTAACACAAAGAGCAGCTGAAGAAAAAACGTATAAATTGACGAAAGATATTGTTTGCCTTTCCACATTAGTTTTACATCCAATTTATCGATAAAGTAACTAAGTTTGTTGATCATATCCAGAGCTCATGTTGGAACATAATGTAGCTATTGCTTATACGACATGTTCAGTGTCTAGCACTTTCATCTCGTCTACATAACTATCAGGATAAGAGGAGATATTGGAAGAGGCTTCGTTTTTTCAAAGAAAAAACATGTTTGATAAAGGCATACTGATAAGCCTAAATTTTGTTCATCGTAGTTTAAAATTTCATATTAGATTGATTTCCAAAGGAACATAGTTGAAGTGTGCGAATTTGATGCTAATGCCAGAGACAATAAGATTTGAATTACAGTTTAAGTACATTTCACTAAAGGGGTTATATTACTGCTCTAGAACAGGAAACCAGTGGTTAAGTATCATCTTATGTAACATATACCTAGCAATAATGGTGGTCATAAAGAGTAACATCTGAACTGTTGAAGTCTAAAGTTTAATAAAGGATACAGTGTGTCACCTTATACACAGCGGATCAGTAGTAAAGAGAAGGATGTGTAAACTTGAGAAGATCGATGTGAACAGAAGTAGCATCAACACCTACTGTCGTAACGGCTTGGTGCCAACCACCGACACACACTCGTCTTAGCAAACACGATTTATTGGAAATAAGAGTCACATAGGTTAAATATCATATTAATAAAACATATTATTTCCCACGTGGGATACAGTTACGAGGTAAGAACAGGACAAAATAAGAATACTGACAGTCAAACCATTGAACACATCAGAAATTCCCCGGTGAAATCAAACTGACGTTATCGGACACCTAAGCAGGGGACGGAACACTGTGAACACACACCTTTTACGAATACATTTATCTCACTTTAAACATATGAAAATTGCACAAATTTAAAAAAAAAATGGCAATATTGACAAAAGAATAGTGTAAAACATACTGTCATTGCATTGTGTATATACTTGTATATATTGATTCGCCTTGTGGTCGGAAAGAGTGATTTTTTTCAATGATGTTGAGCATGTTTCTCGGGGGCGAAGGATGATCGAGGAGGAACGGGAAATCGAGTGTGCTTAGGTTATAGGACAAGGGTAATGAATATTTTATTATACCGAAATATAAGAATGGCACAACACTAAACATGACCAGGCTTACGTTCTATTGTTGCTGTCTGTTGCAACTCGAAACTTGGATGTGAAGCATCGAGCTCATTTGTCTATAGAGCTTCCGAAGAAGGAAACAATGACCGGGGAAAATGAACGCGTGAACAAAAATGTTATTTGATTCAATCATATACGATTTTATATTGAAGGGATATAAACATATCCATTATACATTATATATATTTATACGTCAGTAAAAAATCATTATATATTTATTTTTTATTCGACCTTACATAGGCATAATACCAATAAACCGTTGGCAATAGTACAAGGAAAGTTACTTAGAATCCGCTTTTGAAACATTTTGTTCATTTATCATAATAGGTTTGGTGAGCTGTTAGTGACTTGCATTACAAAAACTGACTGCACAAATGTATATTTGTAAGATCTTGATAATTGAAACGAATAAATCATGTTTGGCAAAGAAGACATCAGAAATTGTAATTCCTAAATGATCAGATTATCAGATTGTTATAATGAACTATGATAGTCTCTGGATTTAAAGTAGCATGACCTAGATAAGCAACGTCTTCATTATATAAGGGATATTATGAGAGGCTCATTTGTCTAGTGGTAGGACGCCGGGCTCGTGACCAAAAGGTTGCGGGTTCGAGTCAAGGAATGGCACTGTGTTGTATCTTTGAGCAAGATACTTTACTCCGCTTGTTCCAGTCTACTCAGCTGTAAATGAGTACGTGGTTGGACAGTGTTAGAAGTGTTGAATGCTAGCTGTTAGCGCCGAAATGGCAGCTCCGGCTGTATAACCCCCAGGGAGTTGAGAAATATATACTGGCTGGTTACAAAGGCGGTAAAGCGGTATATAAGAACCTCGAATTATCATTATTATTAAATCACTAATGAAAAATGGGAAAGATGACCCTAATATGATATTAGGACGTACATTTTACGGACGAGCATAAAATCTGTGATAACGTGGAAACCGATTAGTAACTACTTTGTTTATACATAATATAGTTAGTTTTGAGCTCACCATGGTCGAGTCACTGATGGAGTCAATAGACAAAATGTAAAGTTGTACAGCACTTGTGATGGGCGTGTCTGTAATAACAGGTGTTGTAAATTAATGTAAGTAGGTATGTTCATCATATTATACACTTCAATGCATGTCTCGATAAGGTAGATAAACAAAATATATTGCGTATTTACAGAAAGTGTATTATTAATGTCTATATATCTCGTCGTTGCATCTAACACAACACCTCTGACTTGAGGCCGATGTTGTCTTATGCGTCCTTATGACATGCACAATCTTGCAAATTAATAGAAATGTGTATATTTATAATCTTTACTACATGTAAAATTCGAGAACTTAAGTAGAGCTACATATGCTAATGTGGTCATGCAAAGCTAATACTTATATTAATGTATAGATAGAATTTATTTTTGTCTATTGATACACGTCAGTCTATATCCATGTACAGACATGCTTGAAATAAATATTTAAAACACTTATATAGTTTAAGGATGTACTCCTCCGAGAGGTAAAAATAATACACTTTTCAAAATGGCCGTTGAATTGGTCATTCTTTATTTAATTTTTGTAAAAAGGGTTCTACAAACAACAAGCATCTAGCAGCATGACCTAGATAAGCAACGTCTTCATTATATAAGGGATATTATTTTTACACGGGTTCAAACCGAGGCTTCAACGTGATTTAAACCTTAGAAAAGTACATCCTTAAGGATTATTTGTTCAATTATACACAAACACAGCTACATGTATAATTATGATGTGTTTCGTCATATCCAGTGTATTTTGAATAAAAAATGTAGTTTTACAGTATTATTATTGAGTAATAAACATGCGACTTCCAGGTAAAGGGAAATCAAACTTAGAGACTATATTAATTAGTTTTACTTACTAGTCTCGTATCCAGGAGGAATCCGCGGGTCATACCCCGTTGTAATGTTATCGAGTAATTGTTGTCTGTAATACCAAATAGTTAGTTACTAAAACGAATGCAACCTCGCATATTAATGTAAGTAAATGTTATGTTCCTTATCAATTATTTAAAATATAATCTGGTGAGTCATAATTGAATGATTTTTACTGTAATAAACAAAACCATTTATCTGCACATATAGTCGTTATGTTTTATGTTTCAATGAACTAAATTTAATAATGACGTGTATATAATGTAACCGCGATATAATACACAGAATATTGGCTGTACACTTATTAAACCGGCATTCAACAGAATATATTATGCAAAATATGTTCGTTTAAGATATTTTATTAAGTTTCTAATCATAACAATCTTTAAATCTGATTCTATACATATATATTATACTATTTAAATATAATATTTTAAAATGTAACATATCCATAACCCATTAACCAGAAACGCTATTATTTCCTTCCTATTTGTAAAGCGTTAAACATACCACATGACCGGTTACTCATTCTTATATTTAGTTTGTCAATTAAGTTTGAAGTATTTTAGCAATAATTATTACACATTTATTGAAAATCAGATATGTATTTTGTAGTTAATAATACTCACCTATCAATACGAATATGACCTCCAAAATTAACTTTTTATCTACGATAATCAAATTTTGCAAACGCTTAGTTTGAGAAGGTAACTTATGATGTCTATAAAGGAACATAAATCAAAGCAAATTATACAAACAGTGTTAAGAGATAGAGTCGTGTTAGTAACACACGGATATATAACATTCAAATGGTATGTCGATAAAGAGTAGCACCAGATCAAGCATATCAAATACACTGACGTACTACATGTATATGTGTCTAATACAAACTGTAACATATGGAAAGCAATATACTTGTAATGTGTAACAACTTACCTGTAGTTTAGAGGGTTAATTATTAATAAATGTTTCGCATAATTTTTTTCAATGAAAGATATTATATCAATGTTACTAATGTCGATAACATTGTTCTTAAAATGTTGTTTGTTAAAGAAATGATTAAAAAGCACAACATATGATTAAATGCATTGTCAACACGCAAGTGGGGTTAGTAAACATACTGATGTTTTCTTATTTGTATAGTATAATGTTATTGTGTTGGTGTCATTCAAGTTACGACAGCTTTTTGTGACGTTGATTTTATGTTTAACACGTATAAACGGTATCATTAAATTATTTCCTATTTACTCTAGTAACTGGGTTTGTTGAATATCAATACATTCGAGTCACAGTTGAAACAGATAGGACATTAACATTTGTATTAACATTTGTTTTAACATAAGTTTTAACATTTGTATTAACATTTGTTTTAACATTTGTTTTAACATTTGTATTAACATTTGTATTAACATTTGTTTTAACATTTGTATTAACATTTGTATTAACATTTGTATTAACTTTTGTTATTAACATTTGTATTAACATTTGTATTAACATTAGTTTTTTGTGCAATATAGAGCAAGATAAAACATTTTGAGAAAATTTAAATCATATACACTTCGCTATGAAGTCATGCATACATTTCATTAATCAATATGTGCAGTAATTAAACATGGTATATACTCTGGAACTCTGTATGATTAAAGTTAGTCAAACCAAGGATAAGGATGCCTATCACACTTTAGTGTGGTGTATCTTTTGTACACTAACCTCCCCTTCATTTCATGTTTGCTATAACTCTAGCACTGTTGAGCCATGATTGACCAAATAATGTAGCTCAGTCGATTTGGTCGATATTATAACAATTTAAGGTCCAGGTTTCGAACCCTGGACGGTCCCTGCTGAATGTTTAACCTCAAAATACTGTCGTAGATTATATATATTTTTTTGTAATTTTTCTTTAAGGTCCAACAAGGTGTGGATTTCTTTCTAGAATTGATGTTTTAAAAAGAGTAGTTGTAGTTTTTGCCACTGAAACAGCAATCCTTAAACCATGATAATATGTCGAGATAAATGTCATACTCGAAAAATCCGAATGAAAACAACTGTTTTCGTGGACCGAACAACTTTGATATAAACATGGTAGCTGAGATATCATGGTCGAACCAGGATTCGACTATTTTGCAATAAAACAGGCGATGGTGGTATATTAATCAGAGAGAGGGAAAAGGAAAGCAGTATGCATGCAATAACTGTCCTGTGAAGATACTTTGTCCTATTATAAAGCTTGAATAATGTTTGCAACAAAAAATATATCTAGCATAACTAAATAAAATGTCATTTAAAGTAATAAAAAACGGGATACAATACCAAACATACGTTTTGTTCAGGAAGGAAGGATACAAATTGCTCAAAGACAAAAAGAGTACATATTTCTGTTTGTAAGAATAGCCATACCTATGCGACATATGTCCTTCAATGCTTGATAAGAAAATAAACATATATGTAGTTTATGATATGATCATCAGCCTGTAGGATCCAGGCCAAGCATATCATATTCATGTGTATAATAAATTGCCCGAAACGGTATTTACAAATCCACCTTACGAGGCGGTCCTGACATTTTACATTGTTGAACGATCAAGGCTACTGTTCTGTGAAACAAATCGCTCACATATAATTACGTTCAATGCTAAAAGTATAATGACGTAAAACACTTTCCTATGGATCTTGTTTAGGAGAAACAGTTTATGCAAAGATAAAAGCTAGCAAGTATAGTACATATACATATATATATATATATTAAAACGGGATTTACTAGCAATAATCACACGACCTACTGGGATGTCTATGTTCCGATTAAATATTGCCAGGGGCAGCATTACGTGAATAGTAATTACCGTATAGATAATGAAGCATTGCTGACGTTCTGATAAGCATTATGGCCATTTAATTTATTTTCAATGTTTTTGATTAATGAAATATAGATTTGTCTAACCAGATTACAGAAGTTCTCTTTTCATAATTAGTTATCTCATACTTACATAGAAATAAATGGATGTTCAGTGACATATTTAACTTGTGCAGGATAATCGCTTGTGAAAATACATAAGTAAATAAAGACATAATGTACAGCACCAGACGATATCGATATCGGGTACAGTGCAAGAACATATGTTTGGCCATAAAACAAACCGGGTACATCAAGAACGCTTACATAACTCTGTGAAGATTCAAACGTTACAGAAAAGCACACTGTCTCACTTCTTTTGAAAATCAACATAGTGATAATATAAAGGATTACGCAATTCCTCAACTGTTACAATATTTCACACCAGTTAAGAATCACCCCTTTTTGGTGCATTCAAATACTGTGTTGTAACGATTTATAAGATCACTACATAGACTGACATTCTCAGTGTGGTTATGTCTTAGATTTGTGGAAATAATGTACGTTTAAAGATGCGTAAATGCTCCATTCAGCTTCAGAAGGGGAATATAAAACACCCTTCATTTTTGTGGTTTCCAGTATTGTTAGAAAATTGTGCCGAATTTCATGAATAGTCAAGATGTGAGACAGTGTGGGGTAGGGATAAGTAAAAGGTACACCACCTAGCGTGAGACAAAACTTCATGGGCAGACCTTGACCCCTGTGAGGTGTCAGTGAGACACCCCAGGACTAGCAGAACCACGGCCAGTTTCGCCCAATCCAGAGCCATGGTGCACATTCTGAAAGTCATTTGGTGAGCTATCAAGCAGTCTCTGTACGAAATCTCTAGAGTTGAGCTGTTTTGGTATGATTCTTCAAAGGATCATCTTCTGCAATGAAAGATATTTAGAATTAACCTCACACTTCCTCCATCAAGTTCGGAAAAAACATCAACAAATCAGTTCAAATACTGAGGTTCGAACCGTCGTTATTGGGTATGGTTTTTCTCAAAACAATCGAATTTCCTTCATTACAAGATGTAACAAAGACCAAATGAAATTAGACTGTTTCAAAATGTATTTCGTTAATTTCAATGTGGATAAAACCATCTGACTGAAATATATTGTAACTTAATGATACAAACAAATCAATTAAGTAAGCTAAACAGCAATTTTCTTGTCAAAATAATTTGGTCATTTTTGATCATTGGTAACTATTCGGAAGTATGAAGTGTACTAATAATAATGCCATTATTTCGAAATACACGAGAGTGCATTTTGAAATTGACAAATATCCGAAAACTTCAGAGTTTGGTTCAAACCTGACTACATAATTAATCTCAAGTATACAATATAGTAAGGGAATGACCTTATAAGGCATGTAAGTTGATACATACATACATGTACGAGTATTTGTTTGTACGTTTTGTGTATGATGCATACTACTCGTGTGTATTTGAATTCAATCTATTTTCTTGACCCATGCATGACTCCAATAGTCCATTTTAATATTCGTATATGATAGATATTTAATGTCGATTGCACTGATACATATGCAACACCTACCTTAAAATATGGTCACCTTACTACTACATTTGTATATTCTGTAATAAACAGGACAACTCTAATTTCCTAATTGTTAACTTGTCTTTCCTCAGCAGTAACATATCTGCTTTAGAGCATGACCTGAATATGAGAACTTGCTGAATCAATGTGTTATTAAGCCTTGAGTAATAAACAGTTGATAATAATAATTACTCATTGGAGGTTCTTATACCGCTTTATCACAACCTAGTTTGTAGGTCGTATCAAAGCGGTTCACAAATTATTATCTGTAGTTATAAGGCCTTTGCAACCAGTCAATATCATTCTCCCTTGGGAGCATACTACCGGTGCTGCCGTTTTGGCGCTCACAACTAGCATTCAACAATTCTAGCACTGTCCAACCACGTACTCATTTTCAGCTGAGTAGAATGTAAAAAGCGGAGTAGAGTATCTTGCTCAAAGATACAACACAGTGTCTCTACCGGACAGGCTTTAGTCTACACTTAAATGACTGTCATCGCCATAATATAATTTATGATTATTGCATTTCAGTAATTTCACACCTCAATTATCACAGTGTTTGTAATTGTTTTGACTGACATGATCTTCTCAATTTAACAGGAAACATCATGTGGGTTCCACGTTCGGTGAGAAGACAATCCGAAGTAAAGTTTCAAAATATTTGGACATGATGTACAATTGGACAAAACCGCATTATTCTGAGAGAAGATATTTTTTTCTCGTAAATAGGTACCTTAACTAGGCTTTGTTAATGCTCAGGTGTTACATCGACTTCACATACAAATATAGTAATATCACACCCGAGCGTTAAAGTCCGAGTTATCTAACTTACGTGGTAATAATCTCGGCCGTTGTGATATTATGTCGATAGATATTGATAGATTATGTCGACATCTTATCATAGTTATGCCGACGTAAGTGATAAGTAATACGTTATACAGAACATGATTACAAAGATTAAAATTACATGCTATGACAAAATATGCTTGGTCGTGAAATTCAATTATCAAATTATGAAAAGTCAAAATAGTTAATTTACATGACTTAACGTTGACACAGACTCTCAATGTCTATTTCATTATCAAATGCATCAGTTTGCTCGATCCGTCTATTAATAAAAGCTCTTCGCTATTTTACCGATTTTTTTAAAAATCTCTCACGGCTTTGATCAGTTATGGCCTCATTTTACTCTAATGCCCAGTTGTTATAAACCAGACAATAACTGATCGAAAAGCCACTTGCCTATTTTAGTAACTCCGTGTGGTTATTTCATTAGTCGTACATAGTGGATGTTTTCCGATGGAATGTTTATAAGATAATCTTGTGCTTTCCGCTTGAATCATCTCAACATCTAAGAAACCAAAATGTGTTGGATAGACTGCTATACACTCCTTAACAATCTAGATCATCAATAACCAAGTATTCGGTCACTAAACATGTCACGGGTGCACTTTAGTGGGACCGATCTGGTCTCTTCAAGACAGCATTTTGCGATCGCAGATACCTCTGAGCTGGCGTGCGTAATAACATGTCTATATAATGTATTAGTGTTACCCAGGTCACCTCCACAAAACAGGCTCTGACGTACAAAAACCCTGAACAAAACGATTGCTCTGCAAACGTTTCTAGGCACTAAAATACTTTAAGGTACAGTTTCAAAATAAATTGTTATGTTTTTCATGTAACAAAAGACCACTAAAACGCATTATTCCAGAGTCTTCTAAGAGGTTTCTGTCAGGATAAACTATTATCAAAGTCTGTTCAACTAGTAGGCTATGACGTTGATGCTTTCAGATGAAGCCTACCTCGACGTTTACATTGAATCTTTGTGAAGAGCTGATATGTAAGTTCCTCTCCCTGGCTATCAAACAAGTAATAATCACTGTACTATTACACTGTGCTTTTCACTTGAAATTGAAGAAGTGCTTTAAATAACAAGTGGTTATTATAAAAATGTAGAACACAATCATCGGCATTGAGTATTTCTACATTTGTCCTAAAATTATGTATATTTTATAAATGTGTCACTAAAATCAATAGAAATACACAGTAAGGAAAAAATAACTTTTTAAATATTAGTAAGTTGATGTAGAACGCTAAACAAAGTAATCATTTTACTCCACTATATGGTCATTTTATCCATTGAGGCTCATCAGTGTTATCAGAGGTCAACATGTATAACTGTACATACTATACCTACTGCAGTATATAAAAAGGCTTGCAGTTTCCCTGTCAGAAATACTCGGCTATGAATCTCAGACGATGTCGGTAAAGTGCACGGTGTGGTTTTATTTTAACTGTTTATCAAAGAGCGTTCATTATAATCGTTAAGAATATCTTAAACAATTTTGAAAGGAAATTCAACCTCAAAATAAACAAAAGTAATCTTTTTATTCGGAAATGAGATAAAGAACTAGAATAAACTTCACGTTCACATGTACCACCAAGTAAAACTAGTTGTTAAAGGAATGGATTTGCTAGGATCAACAGTAAGCACAATATTTTCTTACCTTTATGCCTGAGGTCTTCACATATCGCCGCTTGCACTATGAGTAGCTCTCAGAACAGACAACTCCTTTAAAGACACAAAATGAAAAATCGAAGTTAGTATAAAGTATGTCGTGGCAGTATCACGGCTGTATAACTTATAATGTATTCAGTCGGCACAGCGAGGTGGAGGAATGTCAGTCTTGGTTGTCCGGTCAGAAAAATGTAGGTTCAAACAAAGTGTCTCTACCATGTCTGTGTGTATATGAATACATTGATGTAACTCAGTGTTAAACATCTGTTAGATATCCCTTGAGATGTCATATGTTTAGTGAGATGAGCGTGTTGCAGTGTAGAGTACATGTGTGTTGTAAAGACTTATATAGAATGCAGGGAAACTCAACAACAGACACCCCTAATTGGCAGGTATTCTCATTCCTTCTGAATCACTAGTTGTATTTGTATACACATCAAGATTTTCTGTAACAGAACGATGTAGTTGATGAAATCTCTACAAAACTATTTAATTTACCAAAGTATAATATAAATAATGGGAAAGAGGTATACGAACGCTTTATGTTTAGCCAAAACGTAACTTTCCGTCAAAACTCTTACATACATTTACTTGTTATTATTAGCTCATGGCTCCTCTCTAAATACTTTATGACGTCAATATAATAAACAGGTAATATGCTACCAAATTCCGAAGTAGTCAGATTCCTTCTATATTAATACTGTTAATTATTCGACGTCAACATCTTCAAAGCCTCATTATATCAATACTTATGTGGGGTAATGTATTAATGCAGGTTCGACGCCAAGTACATAATTCATTATCTGATATTTCCACGTGTAAGCCAAAACATATGTGCATCTTTATTATTTATATATTACATAAGATATTTGTTAAATCTAATAAGTGAAGACAAAAAGGCAATGAGTCTACCGGTTTGAAGAAAAATAACAACTTTAAGGTTTGTTTTCAAAATGTAGAATGTAAACTTGATTACAGAAGGTAATAGATGATATTTTTAAAGCAAGTGTTTATGCAAGTTTTTCGTTAATTGTTTGTCATTAACACGGACTCTTTGCGACTTCATTAACTCATGATCCAAGTTTGTATTTAACAATGTCGTTTTATATCTTACATTTTTATCACATTATTAATTTAATTGGCGATATAATTCCGCTACTGTCACCAATAGAAGTGATGATTTTAGCAACATGTAAGGTTATACTGTATAGCAAATCTGAGAAAGGATAAAGATTAAAAACGGAGACCTGCTTGAGAAAACCGCTACCTGCAATGTATTTTAGACATGTTGTTGTATTTACCCAACCCAAGGTCCGATCTTGTCCGTTTCATACGCTCTCATTAGTTATCAACGATATGTTAAATTCCGAGATTGCGTGTCAATACAAGATCCATGTAAATTGTTACCCATGTGTACGATGGTATAAAAAAAGCAAAGTGCGTCATAGAGTTAATAGAACGTAATTTTTATGAGACGGTTCCATGTCAAAACGTAACCCCCTATCGTAATATGAGGTGGTTACCACATTTTTATCGCTTATTAGTGTTTGTAGATATTCTCTATATTCCTGTACATAATGATGCACTTGTTAGAGCCTCAAAAGGGTACACGTAATATAACACTGGCAGATATTCCGTGTACACTCAATCACCTCGCTTAGTTGTCACGTAGAGGTAGCATCGCGTAATGCTTACTCTGTAACCCTGCAAGTGACAGCAATCAAAACAGAGAATACTCAACTTGTTATGATAGTCCGAACGAACAAATGGTGGAAAATTAAGTCGCCTCAGAGTACTCACCCATTCCAAAGAAGTTGTCGTATTTCAATTGCACTTTGTCGATAAAAATGTGTTTAGCGTCTCATGAATCTAAATCCGCGTGTTAACATATGCGCTTGTCAGAACATTCATTACCCAGTTGTAGAGTGTATTCCTTAGCATCCGATACCCTTACACGGGTAGGAGATATGTCACAAAATGATCGATTGTGACTAACTGCTGGTACCGTTTTTAATATAAACCCAATGAAGTTGAAGAATAGTAAACCTGCAACTGTTTGTATCATATCTAGTAAGTTATACATATAAACACACATATGGTGACAGTAATAAACTGTCTACGAATCAATAGACATATATAAACACTGAATTTATATTCAAAGGACCAAGGTGACCTCATTATGCTATCGTTTATCCGCTTTATTCACATGACTGACGTTTCATGTACATGTTTGCAACCGTTACTTTTTGTGTGTACAGCATGTTACCTGTAAGCTGTTTCACAAATATTTACCATGTATCGGGCTACGGATAAAAACAGGAACAAATCTATAAACAATTTACTCCTACTTAGTCAATTCTTCAAGATATGTTTCATATTGTAAGATGTTGATTAAACTTACACATGTAATATACGTAGTCTGCAAACTTAGAAACTTAGTTTGCAAAATATAGCATTATTTTATCAAACGTTTTATATAAGACAATCAAATAGGTGACCACTAATATTTGGTACAAAATATTGAACCATTCCCACCCCCGTTTTAACCTATAATTAAACACCAAATGGATAGTTTAATGAATTCGTGCTCTCAATATAAAATGATGGCGTTACAACACATTCACATGGAGTTGGTATAACGTCGTTTTACGTTCGGCGCAATGTTCTTCAATTCCTCAGATAAAGAGAGGGGAAGTGCTTGGAAATTCCCTGCCTGCATTATTGGTAAAAGATGACGAGATTCAGACAACAAGTGTTGTAAATTTACTTAAGTACTTAGTCAACTCAGAAAGCCAAATAAAGTTAACATTTACTGCACAATATCGCCATTTCGTCGTTTTAGTACTCATCACTTGTACTAAAGGTCAAAAGGTTGATAAAACAATCTGAAGTATAGAGAAACATTTGTACAAATACAGCAGAAGGAGAAAGGTGCCTTTATAATATTTAAAATGTTGCATTTGTTTTTTTACAGTTCTGATGCAAATAGTCAGTTGGAACCGTACCATTATGTTGGGTTATGAATGAATTTTCATGTGACGCGACACGTGAATGTGATGGCGTTTTCCTGCTTGCAAATCGTTCGTAGAAAGATGATCAGCGAGAAAGGTAGAACGACACGGACAAGAATTGCATCCCTTATAACGATCAGCTTTCAGGTTTTTAGACCCTCGTATGAACATTGGAAACGCAAGCGTGTAGTTTCGAACCATCCATCAAGTCTATGCAATGAACAACCTTGGCATGACAGTCTTGAAACTAGTCACAACAGCAGGCATACAACGTTGGCGAGGCGTAATAGACAGGTGGTCTGCCAGAACAAGAATAATTAGCTGAGGAAGAAGTTTATTGGTGTCCTGGCCACAGAAAATAAATGATTTTACTGAGAAAAATATCCCCTTGAGTCTTGATCTTGTGTTTATCAAACAACCACATCATACCGACTGCGCACATTAACTGTATACTAAATATGATTACGCATCGAAAGTTTACTGTGTTAACTCATCGAACTCGTGCCAACCGAGAAAGTTGACTTCATGTGAGGGAACACTCAGTATCTCCGTGGTTGACTGAATGGATGTAATAACGTTTGTCACCGGGAGCGATTACAAACATGAAACCACCAGAAATACATATTTGCGACACCGTATAATTGTTATATCAAGGATGTCGTTTCGCTTGCTGTCGGTGTTGACGTTTGAAGCACGTACGATCAAATATTGCGAACATCCGTTTTCTGATACTGATGCTAGGAATCAAAGCTGCAACTGAAACATTGAAGTAAAACCATGGATTCCTAATCAATAGCTCATGTTATACTGTTGAACCTATTCATCTCTGGTAACAATGTAGGTATAAAATAAAGTAGTGAAGTACTCTTCAAACACACAGGTGCAAATCTCACAGAAGTCTAGTTTACATTAGACATATATGGAGACTCGAGCCACACAGCTTTACATTTGTGTTTCTTCATACATTTGTAATACATACATGTACCAGTATACACAAAATCTATATATTAACACCATTGCCATTATAGATTTAAACATATCAAGCAGACGTTCCCGTTATTATTACACTTGTGAAACATTACAGCAGGATGTGTTAATCCTACCTACTGTTCTGTTGTTATACTACACTTGTCACACCGACGTTTTACTTATATGTTAACGTAGACATCGAACTTACAGACATATCAAAGACACCTTGTGAAAGATCTAACACTGATATCGAAACAATATTAACTAGCTATTATCGAACCCTCTTGTTCGAATAGTCGTTTTACAGAGAACCAATAGCAGATTAACAAAGTCACTAATGAGCTTTCACAGAAAAGCTCCACTTTTATAAGCTCAGCTAAAACAAACAGGTAGTATGTTCTCGTACAATGGCTAACTTTGTGAAAATTGTAATCAATATCTACCAACCAAGTGGTTTTAACAGCAATGGGTTGTCATGCTTTAGAAAATGTCGCTTGTTTGATATACAGACACACTTTGCTGTTAATAATGTAGAGTTGATCTTGTACTATGCTATATACAGACATTCTGTGATGTTAAGAACGTGAAGGGAATCTTATATTTGCGATACACAGAAGCTGTGGCATTATGTATGTGTATTAAATTTTGCAATTCGCAAAAAACAACACGAGCTGTGATATGTACTGTCAAAACCATATGATATGGAACCTCATTACATAAAGGTATATAATACGAAATGTTGTACCATGCAGCTGGAACTAAAATCATTAGATTTGGAACTCTTCTGTTTTTATCGAATAAATAAACCGACGAATGATTAACCGAAAAACGAGTAACGAATATTTTATATGTTACACGCAACGTCATTATGCTAATTCATTCAATACTTTATGCTAGTTTCAGCGTATCGCAATCGTCAGAGAAGGAGACACAGTAAGCTTATACATATTCGAAGCATCTTCCTTAAGATAACGTGATGTTTTACATACAAGGAACACACATTATGTAAACATAAATGGTTTATAATGAGCAAGGTGAGACGTTATTCAAAGGCATTGTTCAAATAGAGTTCGA